ATGTCTGAAAGCAGCTTATGCGTGATCTCCTGTGATGGCCTCTCGCCCAATGTAAGCTGACATTGGCTCCAGCTCTCCCTAAGACCCTCAAATGATAAGTGCTATAGATAATTGAAGGATGTAAATTTGAGCCACAGAGATTTCAGTTTTCAGGAATGAAAGTTCCAGTTTCTTTTCTTCGTTGTCTCATTGACATGTTCCACAATTTGGCACAAAATTCCAACAGACAAAAACAGGGCACACACTTAAAAAATACATTGCACTGCTTCATTTCTGGACACGTGTTAAACTGAGATAGTGTCTGACTTCCAACGCTTTAAAATGACCTTTATTGAGGTCATCGTCCTACTTATTGAACTGGTTTAAGTTCCAGGTTTTAGTCATTTTAAACTCCGATGTCTTTATCTCTACAGAAAGTCAGATACGTAGGTTTTTGTCTCTACACTCTGGTCTAAACTCTTATGATTTACAGATGTACACTGTTCTCACATCCCAACATGAGACCTAAGATCAGCATCACTGCAGAAGTATTGGTTGTAAACACTGAGAGAATGTCCTCCATTCATCTCTCTGACTTTTGAAATCCTCTCTGAATGCACCATCATTTCTATTCTTTGGTTTAAAATGGATCAATAACTCTTTGGAAATGAACTCGTCCCATTAAAATGCAAATATGTGCTGCTGTTCCAGTTGCTTCTGAATCCTCCCTCCCACTGCGAGCCAGTTCAGGCAGAGGCTAATCCGGCTGCGTTTCCCCCTGCCAGACGTGTGTCGGGGTGAAACCAGAGTCACGGCTGACGTCACAGGCCTCTTTGAAACGTGGCTCATTATCATTTTAATTACAGGCTGGGAGTCTGGGAGAGAGGAACTAAATGAGAGTCATCAACATGTTATTTTGTGTCAAATTAAGGGTTTAAACGTGGAATATGGAACTTAAACTGGTCCTGCAGGGCATGAACAGGAAACACTGTCAAAATGCATCAAGGGCCAAACAAAGAGCCAAACAGAACATGATAAAACTTATTTGTAGTGACATAAGAAAGATTTTAAGATTCTGAAGCTTAAATTTTTATTCTTTTTTTTAAAACAAGGTCCATTTAGTAGCTGCTCTGGAGCTTTCATGTTTTATTATAGAATTGAATGCTCATAAATGACAAAATACATTATTATCATTTAAAAGATATATTATAGAATATGATTCATGGAATTTTTGAAAAAAACTTGGAGAAATGTCAGTTTTTTGTGTTAAATGTCAAACCGAACCTTTCATCTTTTTTATCTGCAGGTATCAAGATATCAACCAAGCCTCGGCAAAACATATACAAGAAAATAAGAAACCTTAAAATAAAATAAATGAGAAAAAATTATAAATAAACTTTTAAGAGACATCGGAAGCCACAGGTCTGTATGACACAGGGAAAAGGGAAAACTGAGGAGTAGATGTAAATGCAGAGCGACATGAGACAGATTTATAACTTTAATGGCAGCTGTTTGGTCGAGCGTGTCATTAACATGTTAAATTACACAGATCACCTCTGTAATCCAGAGGGCGGGTCTCCGTCTCTGCCAGCACCCTCCTGGGAGATACCAAAATAAACTGTAACACGCTGAAACCCTTATATGTTATATGTCCCACCGTTTTCAAGTTATTGTCGTAAACTGTTTTTTTGTTTAATGAAGTGAAGTCTAAAATTTCAGTTCCTTTCCAGATACATTTCCAACAGAAATGTTTAATCCAACTTTTTTAGAGCAATGCAGCTTCTTGCTCTTTGTTCTCTTGATGTTTTGACTCCAAATGGAAAGAAAAGGAGACTCCAAACACTCTAATGTGTTCATTTCCATTTTAATCGTTAAATAATGACAATAATCACATGCCCTCTCACTTTCTCCGTCTGTATTCTCAGAGACATTTTACATTTTACTTGGGTGCTGGCAGGAAAAGTTCCAGAAAATGAGCAACTGACTGTCTGAAAGCAGCTTTTGTAATATTTACTGAACAACAGCGCTCTCTGCAGCCACACATGGTGACCAATGCTGTGGGTCTATGTGTCCGAGCAACGCAACTGATTACCCATGATCCCCTGCTTCCTGGACCAGAAGAGCTGCCGCTGTAACAAATCCACCAAACTCTGTTTAGGATTCATATTGTAAACGTTTCCTCAGTGAATATTGGAGATCTACGTGTTTTTAGATGATACAGTTCTTGCTGGACCTGATTCTGACAATTAAACCCATTCACACACCAAAGTTACATAGAACGAGAACAAACGCTCAGAGTGAGGAGTGGAAATGAAAGAGGAAACCTTCTCTCCATTCCAAGTCAGTGAACCATCAAACTGATTGTAAATGAACTGGTTTAAGGTAAAAACGTGTATAGTGTTGCTTTAAGTGGAGCAGAAAAGTAACTTAAAGCAGTAAAGGACTGTTGACGTAATTCCTCAAACATCACAAACTTAGATCATCAACGAGGTCGAATCCACAACTTTTTCCGATCACTCAGGACATTTTTTCCTCCTATCAACCTCATGGTCTGAAGGTTTAATTTCCAAATAAGTCAACAAAAGTGATAGTTCCCTCACTTGGCTCATGTAAGCTGTACTTATGGAGGGAAATTATCTGCCACTGCCCGTCCAGTGTGGCTGAAAACTGGCAGAGCTGCTCAGCCGTACGTGCTTTGGTTATAGCGTCTCCAAAGAAAAGTGTCTCTTGTGACACCTCGCAGAAAAAATCATAGTTCACCAAATAAAGTTTAACTTGAAGTTTAGATAATTAGTTTTTAATACTTCTAAATCAAAAAGAAAAGGTTTGCTGGGTTTAAAAGAGATTAACCAGGAGACAGAACATTGATCAACAAGAGGAATCACATCATCAATAAAGAAGAGGAGGAGGGAGAAGCATCTCGATTTAAGATTTATTTGTTTTCAGTAGATGACAGGAGATAGTTGACGACTCGGCCCAGAATAACTTCACGTCACAGCAATGGAAAAACAAAGTCCCTCATGTTCTGCACAGCGGGTCTGGGCCTGTTCAGATAAGATTGCACAAATATACAGCAGTGCACGTGACCCACCGAACATGGTACTTAAATCAGTGTTGAATCCTTCAGTTCATCTAAGAAAATGTTTTATGGATCTCAGCAAACAATAATAATACATTTTATGTAAGTAGCACATTTCAAGCTGATTTTCCCAGTGAAAAGAAAAGAGGAAAGACATTAGGTAGCAAGACAAATGAAAAATAAAATGTGGCTACAAAGAATATATACTCTGTTTAAGTTAAACTTTTTAAAACATATTAAACCGTGACCATGATTTACAAGCTTCAGGTAGATTTTTATTCGTAATGATGGTAATAAGACAACTTTCATGATCCCACGCTGGTTCAGGATGTCATCAAACAAGGTCTTTTTTATTATTGTTTTGATTAAGAGACCCCCTGTGGCCGAAATTACATCTTGTACCTTTAATTGCTCAGATTCAGAGCTCATCGGGAATCATCACGATGTGTGGCTGCAGAGGGTGCTATTGCTCAGTAAAACTTATATACCATAGTTACATTGTTCATTAAAAATCATAATATTCATCAATTTGTCATTTAAATCCCACATCAATATGAAACTGAACTGGAAATGTGAGAATGTAACTTGACATATGTATTAGGGCCAAAACAGCACTTTGCACATTTTCACTGCACAAACCTGCAGGTCAAGAGTTTCCTGGAAACTGTTTGAACGTCAGGAGCCTGAGGTGTGTGTTTGTGTGTGTTATGAGGCTGGGGCTCTTTTGACCTGCGTCTTAAGCTGTAAATCTAAACCAAATCTGTCTGTGCACAGAGCAGGAATGTGCTAGACTGTAAACATGTATGTTAGAATGAGGAAAACACCCAACACTGCCCCAAAAGTGATTTAATTAGAAACTGGTAGCAGAAGCCAAACTGTAATATAAGATATGCTTTCTTTGTCTTCCAGGGGTTTTCTTTATCCTCAGGAATGAAACCTGGTGTAATAAGTGAAAGAAACTCAATCCTCTGAGAAAAGGTGGAGTTGTTTTATGTTTAACCTGTATTGGAAGCTGAGTAAATAAACTCAGAGCTGATCAAACAGGGACAGGGATGACTGAGTGCTTCCAACACTCTTTCCCACACTCTGTTGTATGTGCTGTGCTATCAGGTTCAATATCAGCACTGTGCGGTGGCCCTGATGTGCAAATCACAAAGTCAAATCATAAAACAACAAATAAGAAATGACAAATAAGAAGACACAACAACAAATAAGACACAACCACAGCAGATTACAAACAACTACAACTATGCATAACATTAAAAACATACATGATACCTGATAATGTTTAAGGTAAAAAGACATTTAAAAAAGAAGAAGAAAACAAAAAGGAGGAAAAAGCTATTTTCGTCCCATTTTACTTCTCTCAGATTTATTTTTTCCTGAACTGACATTTCTTAAATTGTCTTTGCCTCTAGCGCCCTCTTACGGCACAAGTCTCCACCTGCACTATCTGACTAAACAAATGTGTTTGTTTCCATTTTTTCTCTTTTTCATTTCATCGGTTCTTCACTGACAAACAAGCATCATCACAACATCTCAGTGCGACACACTCTCAGTTCAAAGACTGATCGGGACTCAGAGGGAAAAATAAATCAATAAGCCAGTGAATGATTTATCTTTAACCATGATGCCCTTCTCCTTTATGGAGCAGAGGTCGGATTAATTATTAAAACATTGTAAAACTGCTGCAAAGTGGAGCAGATGTAGATATTTCTTATATTATACATTTTTGGACTTTTCTTTGAACTGTCACAGAACACATATAAAACATATAAAGAAAACAACAGTTCATACAATTCAGATGAAACACACCAGTGAAAACATCATGAGGGTTCATTTATATTCAAGTGATCCCCTTTAACCCCCCTCCCCCCCCTGCACGTTCTGCAGTGTTTACCATGTTTCAGTGTTTTATTTTGAAAGTGTGCACAGTCGGAAGTGTGATGGCGGGATTCACGGAGCTCTCCGCGGGTGTTGCAGTCACAGAAACCACAGCTGAGATCCAACATGTCTGAGAGACACGGAGACTCTCTGCGCTTCTTCATCAACGGGAAAAAGGTTCGTTCGGTGTGCGCACGGTAAATGCAGCAGGTGCTGTCGTCGTATTCGGGTTCAGTAGTTTCCCTCTGAGTTGGTTTTCGCTTCAGGAGCGTTGTCAGGCTGAGAATCAGGTTTTCAATTCTGACTTTATTTAACAAGTTTTAACTCAGTTCTGCAAGAAGTGACATTCACTGTGCTTAAAAACTTGTCAACAGTCAGTTTGTGTAACAAACTTAAAAGTACTTTTACTCCAGTACCAATAAGTAATGAATCGGGCTTAGTAGAATATGAACTTTAAATGTTTCACTCAGCTACATTTCAGAGAGAACTGTGTGTTTTTAAAGAGCTCTTGAAATTACAAAAGCTGAAATGATTTTCCTCAAAAAACATCTAGGAAAGGTTGTTAAATAAGTTATTTCCACTGAAAAATATAGACTTTGAATGGTTCCAGATTTTTTTACAGAGCAAAAAATTAATTTACCAAGAAATAAGCAGATTGATCCATCATAAAAATAGTCAATAGATGAGTCCGACATATAAAAGTAAGTATAAAGGTTATACAAAAGTAAAGCAGTATTTCCAGGTTTAACAAATACATTAACAACTAGTAATAAGCTAATAGAAAGTGTTTAATTAAAACTACAGCGGCAAATCTATAATACTTTGTTTTATGTAATACTGTGTATTTTATGTGGTGAAACTTTTTCCACCCTCGCAATGTAATGAAATTTAGAATCGTCCTGTGTCAGTACATGTGTCCCAGAAACATCCAGGTGATCATAGATGCTGCAGCACAAAATCTAGAACGAGAAAAATGAATCATACATCTCCTGTGTTAGCTTTTCTTGTTTGCTCTCTGGAGAATAAATAATCCTGCTCATTACGTACAAAGTCCTTGATGATCAAACTCCTGTATCCTTCTGCTTTCTGTCCAAACAGGTAACAGAGAACCATGCCGACCCGGAGATTATGCTTTTATCCTTCCTCAGAGAGAAACGTATCCTTCCCACCTTTAAATCTTTAAATCCACCAGCACAAATAAAGTTGTATACATTAGTTGTATGATTCTGTTTCATAAATCACATGACCTGTTGCTGTTTCACTGCCTGTCTTATTTCCTTGACTGTGACTCCAGTGAGGTTGACTGGAACCAAGTATGGCTGCGGAGGCGGAGGCTGCGGTGCGTGCACCGTCATGGTGTCTCGCTATCAACCGGCCACCAAAACCATCATGTATCCTTTATCTTAAACCACGTGGACCTGGAGAAACCCCACGCAGACACAGGGAGAACATGCAAACTCTGGTCAAAGCGAGATTCAAACTAAGAACCTTGCTGGGAGGTGATAGCACTAGTTATGGACATGTCTATAAATCATTAGTTCAAGGTTTAACCAGAGAGCAAAAACATCTCAAGTCTCACTATCTCAAGCCAACAACTCATTTTTTCATTATATTGTCACTTTGTTCTCTGGACTCGTGCAAACACATATACACTAATTATAGTAATAATAAAATAAAGCACTATGAAAAAAATGGGGACCCCACTCACCCCGTGCCCTGGATCCAGGCCACATTTGTAAGTGAAATAATATTTTAAAAATAAAATTTAATGGCTCTCCTACAATCTGTAACTATGTCCCCTCATTGAATAATGCTAAAGAAAACTGAGCCCATAGTTAAATCCAGTTTCTCGCCCCTGCACACATGTCAGATGCACCAGCACAGTTTTCCCTCATGTAATCGTCAGACATTACTCAGCGAACGCCTGCCTCCTGCCGCTGTGTCAGCTCCATGGAGCCGCAGTCACCACGGTGGAGGGCATCGGCAGCACCAAGACCAGGATCCACCCTGTACAGGTCAGAGCTGGATCATGCTTCCTCATTGTTGTTTGCTACTTGAACGTGAATAAATCTTTGAATACATTCCCTCATCTGTGAAAATGCTTTAAATATTTGTGCAGACATAGGTTTGAAAACGGCTGGTGTTGTGTTTATAGGAGCGAATAGCGAAGGCTCATGGCTCCCAGTGTGGCTTCTGCACTCCGGGGATGGTGATGTCCATGTACGCTCTGCTGAGGAACACACCTCAGCCCTCCATGGACGACATCACTCAGGCTCTGGCTGGTTCGTTTGCTTTGTTGTGTCTCATTAATCAAACCAGTGAGAAGCAGCGATGAACACTCGATGGCTTCAGCGAAATGAGAAAACTAGGATAACCGTTTGTTGTCAATGCCAACAAGGTAAACAAGCACATATATCTGAAACACCTCGTCACTGTGTGTTGTTGCTATTCAGGCAATTTGTGTCGGTGCACTGGATATCGCCCCATTGTTGATGGCTGCCGGACCTTCTGTCAGGTACAAAGCTCAGTGCCCCGTCAACTGCCTCTGACATAACTCATGAAATGCTGAGATGCATGATAATGTCGTGTCACAGTTTTATCATTTCACATCACTGTATCTTACTCTGTCAGTACGACGTGTTCTTGTCACAGTGCCAGAGTTTCAGATCTGATTGGAAAGTAAAATAAAATATGATGTGAAACTGTGTTTTTACTTCTATGCAAAATGAATCATTCATTCTCTTTTTATCATCATTATTCTTATTATTCTTATTTGTTATGCGTTTTGTCTTATTTTCGGCTCATCAGTCATTTGTGAAGCACTGCTCTACTAATAAAGTTTGATTGAATGGATGAATGAACAGGAAACCAACTGCTGTCAAGCCAATGGAGCCGGAAACTGTTGCCTCAACGCAGAGAAAGATACTGATGAGCCAGAGCAGGTGAGTTCATTCTTTTCTTTTTTCTTTTCTCTTTCACTTCCAAACTTATGATCTATCGCTTTCTGCTCAATTATATTTTCTCCATAATTTCTTTGTGATTCTAATTCTTGTAGATTTAACCCAACTCGTCCTTTTCTTTGCCTTTTTTTTTTTTAAATCAACCTGATCAGATTTCAACATATATTTCATTTCTGCCTCTTCATGTCGAGGAAAAGCCACAGCTGTTTGATAAGGAAGCGTTTGTGCCGCTGGACCCGACACAGGAGCTGATTTTCCCTCCTGAGCTGATCGTGAGTTTACAGATATAGTTTCACACAGGGTGTCAGCACTTTAAGAGAAGAGGCTAATTTAATTTCCCATTTCTTAAAAAAACAACTTTACACTAATGTTGTGTAAATACAATAATGGCGGTATAAGAATGTCCCTCTCTCCAAAGCTGATGGCGGAGGCGTCGAACCCACAGACACTCACCTTTCACGGGGAGAGGATGACCTGCGTGTTCCCTGCCTCTCTGGAGGAGCTGGTGCAGCTGAAGAGGAGCAGCCCCAAAGCTCCGCTGCTCATGGGAAACACCAACTTAGGTGAACGTCGGAAAGACACATCATGCTTTTCAATTTGATGTTTGCGCTTTGTCTGTTGCATCAATTTACCACCACAGGCTGAACACACATGAATAAATGACTTCCCCGTTACTATTTCTAACTCAAATCTATAACTAAGCCGATGAGGCTTAGTTATAGATTTGAAAACACAAATCACATGAACTTCATACTGTGATTTTTCAGTTGTGCCAAACAGAGGGACAAAATAATCAACTGGTACAATTCAGTCATTTTCTAAAACAATATTCATCTCTAAATATATATTCTGAGAGCGACAATAAGTAATAAACCTTTAGTAATAAAGTGATTTGAATCTAAAAGCACTGTTTACAGGTAGAATTACAAAAAGAGTTGAATTATCGACCCATTCATGACCTTGAGCACGCGRGATGATGAGCCAATGCACTGTCGCAGAAGTCTAATGTGAGGCAACATGAATGTTCACGGTTTGATGGAGGCCAAAGTCGCAGGCAAATAGCAGCAGCTGGAGTCTAACTGTGCTCCAACGTCTTATGTGTTTCTTGTGATGAGTAGAAATATATTGCACTTTGAAGACAGACTGAAAAAATAATCTCACAGGTTAAGACGAGAACCACCGATGAGTGTCATGCAAAGAATGATTCCTTTTTCTAGAGCCCGAGCATTAAGGATTTTTGACTTACTTACTTTTCATTCCTGAGACGTCCCCTGGCTAAGTCTAGCTCTAGTTTATTCACAGAATTATTCTGGGCTTATGGATAATTGCTGAATGTGAGCTCTGATAATGTTGTGAAAAATATGTGAATTCAACTTTATTTTCTCTGCTTTACGTTAAAGGTCCAGATATAAAGTTCAAGGGTGTCGTGCATCCGCTGATAATATCCCCGACCAGAGTGACGGAGCTGTTCGAGGTCACTCAGACGCCACAGGGTGGGTAACCTCACTCTGTTGTCTCCATGTTTTTGAGAATTTCTCACACAGACTGTAACTGTGCTTTACAAATGATCTCAGTGTTTTTAGTGTCTACCAGTGATTTGTCTCATGAAACTCTCCAGAAATGTAAGAAACTGTTTAATCATCACTCTCGTGTTTTCTGCAGGTGTTTGGTTGGGAGCAGGTTGCAGTCTGTCCGAGGTCCGCTCTCTTCTAGAGAAGCTGCTTCCTCAGTTTCCAGAGGAGAAGACCGAACTCTTCACAGCCATGATCCAGCAGCTGGGGAACCTGGGAAGCCAACAGATCCGTAACGTCGCTGTAGGTCTACTTCAGTCTTACACTGCTGATGTATATTCAGTCAGAGATGCACCTATGCCTGTTTCTCTTTTCCCTTCCTTCCTCCATCTTTTCTTTCTGTGTGACTTCCCTTTCTTCTCCTTTGGTTTTAAAGGATTTGAATCAATACATTTTCTGTCTGTTAATTGTTGTTTTCTTATTTAGACTCTCGGAGGCAACATCATGAGCGCGTACCCTAATTCAGACCTGAACCCAGTTTTGGCTGCGGGGAACTGCAAACTGAGCGTCATTTCCAGCGGTGAGGATTTATTGAGACATTAGAAAACCTGTGACGCCTTTTAGAACTCAGATGTCAAAAAAAAAAAGTTGAATCCTGATTTACAAGCAGTTTCTTAATCCACCAGGAGGAAGACGGGAGGTTTCTCTGCATCAGGACTTCTTTGTTAGCTTTGGGAAAACCGCTCTGAAACCTGAAGACATCGTTCTCTCTGTTTTCATTCCCTTTTCCAGAAAGGTACAAAAACTTGTCCGTTTGCATTTTTGTCTTCGCTCCGATGCCCTTAAACATACGTAAAAGTGTGATGTAATGTCCTGTTTGTCCTGCAGGGGGAGTTTGTTCGAGCTTTTCGTCAGGCTCCCAGGAAGGAGAGCTCCTTTGCCACTGTGACAACAGGGATGAGGGTGTTTTTCTCTGAGGGATCTCGAGTGGTACAGGACGTCAGTATTTATTTTGGAGGAATGGGATCGACCACAGTGAGTGCTGCCAAAACCTGCGCAGCTCTCATCAAGAGGTCAGTGTGAAATGTATTGCTCAATGTGGGATAATCAATATTTTTAGAAGTGGATTGAAGAAACTAGAAAATTCAGTTTCATTCTTGTTGAACCCTCTAACTCTTGGTGCATGTGTGAGACATGAAGCACTTTCAACACAGCTGAAAATTAAAAACACCAACAATGAAAAACCTTTCAGGGTTTCCCTTGTCTTTCCCTCAGGCCATGGGACGATGACGTCCTCAGCCAGGCCTATGACGTCCTCCTGGATGAGTTGGTTCTCCCTCCCTCGACTCCAGGAGGGAAAGTTGAGTTTCGGCGGTCACTGACTCTCAGCTTCCTCTTCAAGTTTAACCTGGAGATCCTCCAGAAGCTCAGAGAAATGGTATATCTTCAATGCAACATGGTGAATACTGCTGAAGCAAGCGACTGAGAAGAGTTTTTACCTTTTACAGAATGTGATCACAGATCAGCTTCCTGAGAAGATGCAACCTTTACCCAGAGAGATCCAACCCAGCCGGCAGGAGTTTCAGGTCCGAACATAATGTATCTCTACATCTTAAAAAATAAGAGTTAGATTGTGAGATAAAGCTGACGGCTTCCTCATCTCCTCCTCCAGCATGTGCCAAAGGACCAGAACAACCAGGATCCAGTGGGCCGTCCCATAGTGCATCGCTCTGCCATCAGCCAGGCCACCGGTGAAGCCGTGTACTGCGACGACATTCCCAGAACAGATGGGGAACTCTTCCTGGCTCTGGTCACTAGCTCTCGAGCACACGCTAAAATCATGCAAGTGTCGATTTGGGTTGTTTCCTGTCACGTAGTCACTGGCTCCTTCAAATCTCCTCATCCTTTTTTAAATGTGTCTTTTGTCCACCAGGGGGATCGATGTGAGCGAGGCTCTGCGGCATCCTGGTGTCATCGATGTCATCACAGCCAAAGATATTCCTGGGAAGAAAGTCCGTACGTTTTTGGGATATCATGAGGAGCTCCTCGCTGAGACTGAGGTAAAGCATATATGTTTGTGTGTTTTTGTTTTTTAGCTGTTCATTTTTAATTATTTCTATATAATATTTGGCTGAGATGCCAAAACAGGCAAAAATATCAAGAAACATGTAATGAAATGTATATTTTGGGTCAAAAAGTACTTTGTGTTACCAATAATATACCCAATACAAATTATTAGATATTAATTATATAGGTATATGATAAATAGTAATACATATGATAACGAAGATATTGAAAAATTTAATTAAATAATTAAAATACTGACATGTAAACATTGATGCATGACTAAACAGTATTTTACTAAATATTGCAAATGTATTATTTCAAATAATTTTGTTGGATATGCATCATTAACGTGTCAATACATTAAAATTTCTTTATGGAACAGTCCTTCAGGTTCAACACCTCTGGGGTTGTGATCACCTTGTTTAATATCAGCCAACAGTGGTTTTATCTCCACCGATGTGTGTCTTCAGGTGTCGTGCATCGGTCAGATGTTGTGTGCAGTTGTCGCTGATACGAGGGTGCACGCCAGACGAGGTGCAGCAGCCGTGAAGATCAGCTACGAAGATCTGCCGGATCCCGTGTTCACCACAGAGGTCTATTCATGAGAGAAATGTTCTCCGTGACCATGTCTGATACAGAAGCCTGATATATTTGTGCCTTTTAATACTTTGGAATTTGAAATAATGTTTGAGTTGAAACACTGCTTAGCTGCAACTTTTTATGGTCAAAATGAAAGTACCACATTAGGTCTTGTGTCTTTTCGGAATAAATTCACCCTTTAATCAATTAGACATGTTTCTGATCTCAGTATTGATGATTTAATTTCCTCGTGGTGTTTGTCCTCTTCCACTGCGACAGGAAGCCATTGAAAAATCCTCTTTCTTTGAGCCACAGAGGATGATCAAGATTGGAAATGTAACAGAGGCCTTTAAAAGTGTTGATAATGTTTATGAAGGTAAATTTCTCTTTGCATCAGTTTCTGTACATAAATTATGAGGAAAAGTTAAGACTGACTGTCTTTGTAACTGTTTTCCTCAGGCGAGGTTCGACTGGGCGGCCAGGAGCATTTCTACATGGAGACTCAGAGCATGCTGGTGGTTCCTGTTGGCGAGGAGACGGAGATCAACGCTTACGTCTCCACACAGTGGCCGACTTTAACTCAGGTGCACCGAGACGCCTGGACACTGGCTGTTGTCTTTCTTAAAGAACAGATCTGATCCAAAATGCATTTTAGAGACTGCTTAATAAAATGACAGTCAGAGCTGAAAGGCTTTCTTTCTGTCTTATTTTCCTGACTGCAGGATGCGATAGCTGAGACACTGGGCATCCCATCAAACCGAGTCACCTGTCACGTCAAAAGGATAGGCGGAGCATTCGGAGGGAAGGTCACTAAAACCGCCATCTTGGCTTGTATCACCTCTGTGGCTGCATGGAAGTAGGTGGACTGAATTTTCTGGGTATTATTTGACCTAACAAGCCAGAATGAGAATTTGAAAAAATTGAAATGAACTCAAATCATATAAAGGTTGGAAGTTGTGATGGTTGGTGTTTTCAATCTTTCGTCCAGGACCAATCGCGCAGTCCGGTGTGTTTTGGAGCGAGGTGAGGACATGCTGATCTCGGGAGCTCGTCATCCTGTCCTGGGAAAGTACAAGGTACAACGACACTCTAGATTTTCAGGTTCGTAAAATTGTTGTTTGAGTCCAATTTGAGGCTGTTTCTCTGGAAGTGATGCAAAGATAGTTCTGACGGCAATTCTGGATACTTCCAGTTGTTTCATTGTTCCTGCGCTTTGTGTCTCACACATGCACCAAGACTCAGAGAACAGGAGTCTGGAATAAAGACTAATGAGAAGTGAAATGAAAATAAGATTCAGATATGATCTGACTGTTGGGGAAGTTGTGGTTTAATCTCAGCATAGATTCAAATAAACCCTGACGGTTGCTTGCTGCTTGTTTCAGGTTGGTTTCATGAATGATGGAAGGATCATGGCGGCAGACATCCAGTACTACGCCAATGCTGGGAACACTGTCGATGAATCTGTTCTGGTTGGTGAAAGAGATTTTTTACTTTCATGGCGCTCAGAGTTTTCAACCACAAAAACGTAAAAATGCTCTCATTGATTTTCTTCCTTCTGCAGGTAATTGAGAAGATTCTGCTTCACATGGATAATGCATACAACATCCCCAACCTGCGAGGCCGCGGCGCCGCCTGCAGGACCAACCTGCCCTCCAACACTGCCTTCAGGGGCTTCGGCGTGCCCCAGAGCGTCATGGTTGTGGAGAACATGGTCAACGACGTGGCTGCGTTGCTGGGACGCCCTGCTGACCAGGTCATATTCTGAAGATTGATGCAATTTTATCTTGCACAGGTTGATATGGGGACGCTGGAAGTCAGTTAGCGTTAGGGACTGCAGAATAAAACCTGATAAAATAAACTCATATTAAACGCAAAGAGATTTTTATATTAATTTGAAAGGACAACAATATTTTATAGAACATTTACACAACAGGCAGAAAACTTGACTTAGAGAAAAAATATCTATCCCACTGTTGCCACCACTGAAATCCTTTCAGGTCACGCCTAATATTATCTACATCACATTCTACTTTTGTGCATCAGATACATACACTGAATACTCCGATATAAAATCAAATACTATGAAAACTATAAAATGCTACTCTCAAAATGATACTTTAGGAAATAAAATCATTTTAACTTGCAGTTACAGCCAATTGCCAGTAGGTGATGTTGCAGCCCTTCTCAGAACTTCTACCTCCAGCGTTCTTAGGTTCATATCTTATTTTTTAAGTTTTTACATTTTCCAACAGATTCGGGAGACCAACATGTACAAGGGGGTGTCAGTCACCCACTACAAGTTTGAGTTCAGCCCAGAGAATATGCTGCGCTGCTGGGAGGAATGTAAGGCCAAGTCTGACTACAGCGCCCGCCGCCGAGCTGTCGACCAGTTTAACCAACAGAGCCGCTGGAAGAAGAGGGGCATGTCCATCATCCCCATTAAATTTGGCATCGCGTTTGGGGAGAGCTTCTTAAATCAGGTCTCTGAGATTCAGCTTTAAATTTTTATCAGAGATGCATCCACCAGGTTAACTTGTCCTTTACAACATTTTTTTTACTCTTTGTGAGAATATTGCTACACGAATATGAAGACATTTTTTCTGTGTGTTTGTGTAAAAGGCAGCTGCTCTGGTCCACATCTATAAAGACGGCTCTGTTCTGGTAACTCATGGTGGGACGGAGATGGGTCAGGGAATCCACACTAAAATGCAGCAGGTACAATAGCCATCTGTAACAATGGGGATTTTTTTTTTTTTTTCATTTTCCACATTTTACATTTCCAAAAATCGTATTATCTTATAAGCTCACAGTCTGTGTCCTGTGTGCTGTAAGGTTGCCAGCCGGGAGCTTCACATCCCGCCCTCTAAGATTCACATTAGTGAAACCAGCACCAACACTGTTCCCAACACCTGCCCCTCTGGTGCTTCCTTTGGCACAGACGCCAATGGCATGGCGGTCAAGGTAACGTCCAGGTCCTGCGTTGAGATATTCTGCATCGCTGCTGAATTGAGACTCATATGGAAAGGACACATTGGCAATGATAAAAAAACATTTGTACGAATCTTTTTCAAATTATTTTGTTCAGGATGCCTGCCAGACTCTGTACCGGCGACTGGAGCCAGTCAGGCAGAAGAACCCCAAAGGATCATGGGAGAGTTGGGTAAGCTTGCTCCTGAAGGATCAAATGGAAAAATGTAGCACTTCATCAAACACCTGCCATAGAGACATGAATCTATTTCTTTTTGTCTCTCAGGTCCAGGCAGCATTTTTCGAGAGAATCAGTTTGTCAGCCACTGGATTCTACAGGTGAGACACTGAACCAATAAACAGTGAACTTATTCAGACCTGGCGTTACCATGCTTCTACCTGAAGACGCTTGGTATGAGGGATGACGGATTCTTGTTGTCCTCAGAGGTCTGGACCTTTACATGGACTGGGACAAGATGGAGGGTCAGCCTTACGCTTACTTCACGTTCGGGGCGTGTTGCTGCGAGGTGGAGCTGGACTGCCTCACTGGAGACTTCAGGGTCAAACGCACAGCTTTAACCTTTCAAACATCGTAATTGGAATGTTTGGGTTTAAAGACGAGGCTGAAAGAATTGTATTATTTGCATCTTGTAGACTTTGAGGACGGACATTGTGGTCGACATCGGCAGGAGTGTGAACCCTTCTGTGGACATCGGACAGGTGAGACTAGATTGATGGATTTCCTTGTAGAGCAATGGACGCATTTAATTTTACACTTTGCTGTAGAAAGTCTGGTGATCATTTATTTTACGATCATTTATGTACCAACATTTCCTTATAATTTCACTCATCTGAATATGTTCTAGTATTAATTCGTTTTGTAAATTATGGTTCCATTTAGAGTCAAATAGACGATAAAGCAGGATCAGTGTGTAAGAATTAGGTGAAAGGGATCTATTGAGAGAAAGTGAATGAAAAAGAATCCTAGTGATGTTTTCACTCGTGTGTAATCATCTGAATTGTAAGTTGTTTTCTATAATGAGCACCACGTCCCTTCTCCCCCATACGTTCGTCCCTCTCTCAGATTGAAGGAGCGTTCATGCAGGGTTTGGGTCTCTACACTCTGGAGGAGTTGAAGTTTTCTCCCTCCGGGCTCCTGTACACTCGCGGCCCTTCCCAGTATAAGATCCCTGCAGTGTGCGACGTGCCGCTTCGCTTCAACGTCTATCTGCTGTCAGACTCCCAGAATCCCCATGCCATCTACTCCTCAAAGGTGTCTTTTGTTTACTTTGTTCTCTCTTTTTTTTAGCCCTTTTTCTCTTAATACTAATATTCATTAATAATTGCAATGGCCGGTAACAGTCACATTGTCACTGTTTTTGCTTCACAAGTAAATTTACAGATGGTCTTTTGTCCCTGCAGGGTATCGGAGAACCCGTCCTCTTCCTGGGCAGCTCAGTATTCTTCGCCATCAAGGACGCCGTCGCCGCCGCCCGCTCAGAGTCCGGTCTCAGTGGCCCATTTTCCCTGGACAGCCCAGCGACAGCAGAGAGGGCCTGTCTAGCCTGTGCCTCCCCGTTCACTCAGAAGGTAACGATAATGAAATGCTGGTGTTCTCACTCTGGTTTTAAAAGCGACCACTGCTTTACACAAGTTAAATTTAAAACTTAATAAAACCTTTCTGTTTTCTGCTAAAATGAACTTAACTCCAAACTTGGATGTAAACACACTAAAACTGAAAATATACTTCCCAAGACTTTCAACAGTATTCATTATGTCAATCCACTTATCGTTGTATTTCCCCATGTTCATGTTGGGGCTGGTTAGAATGGCGTTAGTTTAAAGACTAAATTTAACCAGAACCTGAAGGAAATAAAATTTTCTCCACAACCTTACCGAGTGAAGGTAAAAAATGCATGAAACTGCATTGGTATTTTACCTGAAACTATTACCTCATTATTCATTTGAATACGTTGTTTTTTATTCTGAAGAGGAATCTAAATGAAACTACAGTTCAGAGGTAGACATACAATTTCAACTTCAAATAAAAGAAATACATGATATCACTTCATAGTTATTTTTTAATTACATTAAATAGAAAAGTGAACTTTTAGCGTTTAAAAATGACAGCCATACATTTGCCATTTATTTTGTTATTTTATTTTATATTGTTTGTTGTTTTATTTTTTGTTTCCAGATTGCAGCCGACAAACCAGGATCTTTCAAACCGTGGGCCTTAAACATCTAAAACTGGAACTGAGATATTTCTTTTGTGATCAAAGTACATGAACTAAATGTAACCTATAAAAATTATCTGATATAGTTTCATTTTTAATACCAAATAAGGGATTTTAAAATTTTCTACCAATTAACTTGTAGTAGATTTTAAAGTACAAATCAATGTTTTTGCTCATGCATCAGAATAAATAATTATATATTCAACACAATATAATAAACCAGTGTTTGAACTGTTCTCATTCAGCAGCAAGACATAACCACATGAGAATATCTTTAGTACTAAAGGTGCCACAGTAGAGTAGAGTCCATCGTCATCTGTAAACTAACCCTGACTCTTCTCCTTGTGGACCGAGGACGATCACACCTGAATGCACCACGGAGTCGCAGTCCCATTCGTCTGAGATGAGGCCTGCGAGAGCGACAGGATGTGCTGTTAATCATCAGAGGTCGTTAAAATGCTACAGGAAACAGTGAAATTCTGCACTGTTAGCAAAGGAGAAGAAGATTATGTTTCCACCCCTGTCCATTTGTTTAGTTGTGACAGTGAACTGTGAAGACCGACATGTTTGAACAGGTGTAATAAAGTTTGGGGTTGGCCTGATCATTTATTTTTTAGCTTTAGCTTCATGTTTGACATCAGTTTACCTGTTCAAACATCCCAAGTCTGACTTGGTTTAAAAATAAGCTCCCAGTCCTAATCAAGCTGTTACCATTTCAGTGAACTGGTCCTGACAGGCCATGCGGATCTTCTCAGCTGTAGCTGGGGAGCTCAGAGGAAATGTGTCACCCAGTCCCTTCTCTTTGCGAGCCTCTGCGATGGCTGCTTTGATGGCGAAGAAAAGAGTGGAGCCGAAGAAGACTGGAGGCTCACCTATACCCTGGGACAACAAGACGCACAACAGGTTCACAAAAAAGTGATTGTATTCATAAAAAAGTCTCCTTTCGGTTCGTCATGAGTGTGTGGGTCGCCAGTGTTACCTTGGACAGGTAGATGGCGTGAGGGTTTTCAGAGTCAGTGAGCAGATGAACGTTGAACTCAGCTGGGACGTCACAGAGCGCTGGCACCTTGTACTGAGATGGTCCTCTGGTCATCAGGACTCCGTCTGGGGAGAACTGCAGCTCCTCGATGGTGTACAGGCCGACGCCCTGGACGAAACCTCCCTCCACCTGGTAAACGTCACACACACTGATGTGATTTATCCAGAAACACATTAATACAGGTCTATTCTGTGACAGGATGTGTCACTGTGGTTTAACATTATGAGATAGAAAAATGAAGCTAATTTCCCAGAGAATAATCCATGCTTTCTAAAAAAAAAAAAAAAGTAGGAATGGAGGAGAAGGAGGATGGAGTACCTGTCCAATGTCCAAAGCAGGATTGATGCTTTTCCCAACATCCATCACAATGTCAGTCCGAATGTTCTGCAACAAACAAAACAAAATGCAGCTGTGCGACAACAACAAAACAAAAAAGCCCAAATACGGTTCCTCTAGTGTACTGCCACTGTCTTTTTACACACACTGATCTGAATTATTAATTTGTTTTCTTCCCGAAGTAAGTTATTCAAAATGAAAATTAGGAATTCAAAAATTAAGAATGAAGCATGGTAAAAAAGTAATAATAAGTAATAGTAAAAAGTGGATTTACCTTGTGATCCCCAGTGAGACAGTCGATCTCCACTTCAGAGCAACAGGCACCGTAGGTGAAGTAATAGTACGCTTGACCTTCACCTTTCTCCCAGTCCACGTTGGTGGCAGGTCCCCTGTAACACACAGACACACGCATAGTCAGTGCTCTTCAATGTTAATAAGCAAGTTTGATTTCATGTGCCCAAATCAGATCTTAATAAATACTTTACTCACATAAAAAATCCAGTTGCAGATAAACTGATCTTCTGGAAGAAAGCATCACTGACCTGCAAGAAGGTAAATTCATTTCAGCTTTCTTTCGCACATTCTCATTTTCAATTACGTCTATAAAAGCAGTTGTGGATTTTACCCATTGCTTCCATGTGTTTTGGGGATTCTCCTTCATGAGTGGTTTCAGGCGTCTCATTAGCTTCTCACAAGCGTCCTGGGAAAAAAAAATAATCAAAGATATGATTGTGATTAAAGAGAACTTGGAAGATAAATCTAAACTGAAATTTCCACATTCCACTGCTCTGTCACTGAAACCATTTCTTAAATATAAGCAGGTACCTTGACGGCCATGCCCACAGAGTCGGTGCCAAACGAGGCAGCTGATGGTGCTGCATTGGGGACGTTTCCTGTACACGTCTCTTTGATGAAGATGGAAGACATGGGGACCTTGAGGACACGGCTCGCTATCTGGAACGTAAGGGAAGAATGTAGTTGATCAAGTTTCATGTTCAACTTAAAGAACACAGACGACTGGAAGAATTTGAAAAGATTAAATCTCACCTGTATGGCCTTGGTGTTGATGCCCTGACCCATCTCGGTCCCTCCGTGTGTCACCAGCACTGAGCCGTCTTTGAAGATGTTCACCAGTGCTGCACCCTGGGAAACACAAGTGAATGAAAGCCTGAGTGCATGTGCACAGATAGAGTAAAGATAAATAAATAGTCTAGATAGATATTATAGGTCATAAACCCTTCCTCCTCATGTTCCTGAATTTAAATTTTTATATTTTAATGCTGTAAAATAGGATGAAATGCCAGGATTGACAGCTGAGAAGACTCATAATTTAGTCGAGCATGTTTATTGGCAGAACATCAATATTGTGGCTCCACTTATTTTGCAGATTCCGGCTCGAATTATGTCAAAAGTGCCAGATGGTGAAACCAGTATCCAAGATATTTTGGCTTTATTTTCATACAATTGGAGGTAGTGGAGACATGTCGTCCATCTTTATTTGCAGGCGATGATACTGAGTTAAAAATGTTAAAGATGATTTTTACCCTCAGAACTGCTAGAATTCCCCACAGGCTTTAAAAGCAAATGTTGAACAACTCAACGACCCCGGTCCTCACTTGATTATAGAAGCCTTTGGAGAAGCCAACACCAAATTTCTGCGGCACAGCAGCGATGCCTCTCTTCTTCCAGCGGTTGGAGGAGTTAAAGAGTCGGATCGCTCCGAGCCGATCCTCATAGTCGGCCCTCTCCAGACACTCATTCCAGCAGCGAACCATGTTGGTGGGGCAGAACAGCTGCTTGTAGTGTGTGTAGCTCTGCTCCTCCCTGTACATGTTTATGTCTCTGACCTGGAGCGGGAAATCATTTACTCATTTATCAGAGAGGTTTTAATCTACTATACTAAAATGAGATTATAGAAACACAAGTATGAACTTGGACAAACTAAACACCTTTTGAGTTTTTATGACAACTGAAGGCTGCCACAGGATCTCTGTTTGGAAGGAGAGGATGAGGTGAGGGGTATTCAGCTGCAACATACAACTTCACCACTAGATGTCACTAAATTATGTAGAATAAATGTCAGTTCACCAATTATAAATGATTTTCTGCACAAAAAAAATTATTGTTAAAAAATGTACACCAAGAGCTTCAGTGACTCTAAACTCTGGCAAATCAACATCCTTCAATAACCGATTTCTCTCTATTGATTAAAACCACTTTAGGACATCCCATGGCTACATCCCGGTGACCTCTGACCTTTTCAGGGGGCAGGCCGCAGCGGACTGCCACCTCGTGCAGGACGCTCTCGATCACCATGAGTCCCTGAGGCCCACCGAAGCCCCGGAAGGCCGTGTAGGACGGCAGGTAGGTCTTGCACACCACACCCCGACCTCGCAGGTTGGGGATTTTGTAGCCGTTGTCCATGTGGAGGATGGCTTTGTCCATAATCTGAAACAGAAAGGGTAACAGCATGAAAACCCCAACATTTTGAGTTTCAGTTCAATAAAAGTAGATTGGATTGATGTTTTGGGTCAGACAGTGTCTTTTGACTTTTTATTTAAATTTAACACAGTGAAGTGATTCACACGCTGTCCATGTTTCTGTTAACTCACAAATGATGACTCATCCAGTGTGCATCCTCCATTGCTGTAGTAAATGATGTCGGCGGCTATGATCGTGCCGACGCTATTGTATCCAACCTGGAGATGGAACAGGACAGTGCATGATTAGTGCTAACCATAGCCTGCACTAGGACTGACTTGTGATTGGTCGAGCATTTGCATCAGGGGGATATAAAGGGGCTACATCCCATAATCGCCATTGTTCAGACTCTGGCTCCAAATGATGTCAAAAGATAATATGGCTTCATTTTTGTACAGTGGACACGTTTCATCCATCTTTATACACAGTCGATAGTTCATACCAAATAAACCACCAAATTAATATTGTAATCCACTGGTTCCACAAATGTTTTTGTTGAATAGTCTTCAAAACCTTCGAGCAAGGTTTAAAAAGGAAATAAATCTCCACAGCAAACATCCACACTAAAATTTTCATTCTCATTTGTTTTTCAGCAGTGCAAAAAAGGTGCTCTTATTTTTCTCCTTATTCATTTTTATCGTTTCACTTAAAATAACTCTTGTATTATGATTTGTACCTTATACTTCCCGAGGAATGGGTGTCTGCCGCCAGTGATCAACATGTCATCACCTCGTTCCAGGCAGCAGCGCACGGCCCTCCCAGTCCTGGAGAGGTTAAAAATCCCATTTCACAAATTACAGAAATCTACTGACTGTTGTGGCCTCTAGGTTTTTTACTCTAAGACTGTCTCTTCTGCTCATTCACGAGTCCAGTCCGGCTGTTTGATTTTCTCACTTGTGTGCTGCGACTGCAGTGATGGCAGAGAGGGACGCGATTTTCATTACTTTTCCTCCGAACCCTCCGCCCAGCCTCTTCACGTGGCAGGTGATCTTGTTGGACTCGATGCCCAGCGCCATGCCGACCAGCTCCTGGTGCAAGACACAAAACCACTCAGTAAGTTATAGAGCGTCATTCCTAAAAAGAAAAGGAGATTTCGTTTTTCTTTCTTTCGACCTGAGTGAAGGCAGCGTGCTGAGTTGACGCAAACAAATCCATTTCATTATTCTCTCCTCTGGGAACAGCGATCAGTCCCTGAGTCTCCATGTAGAAGTGCTCCTGCCCGCCCATATAGATCTCATCTGCACATAACACCACATATTAAACTTCAAATAGCAAGAAGACGTGTTTAGAGATTTTCCTGCGAAGATGTTTTACCCTCCAGAATATGTTCAGCT